GCGGCGCAGGAACCAGACGGCGACAGAGTCGGCGCAGGGAGGAAGCTTCCATTTCGGCAGGCGCACCGGAAGGCTTGTTACGCTAACACGGGCCACGGGCGCGGCCCCGCCACTGCACCCCGACCCCCGCCGCCGCCACCACCCGGGCGAAGGACCTTAATGAGGTGGAGGGGGGGCCACCGAAGGAGAGGCTGAAGTCAAGTGCGGGGGCGAGGTGAGCTGGCGCTGTACGTAGGAATGGTGACAGAAGAGTAGCAAACGAATGAGAGACACGGAATATTTGTATGGCTTACTCTTAGACATTCGCCCAAATATCTCTCTCTTTCATTTTTTCAATAGTTCAAAAGTTCGTGAAAACTTACACGTGTACTATACAGTACATTCCAATGTAAATTGCTCCAAACATCTAGAAGATAATGCATACATTCGAATGTAAAGAATTACCCTTACGGAACTAATGCCCGTACCATTTGGGCGCATGGAAACGCGCAATCAATCCCCCCCCGTAAAAAAGCAATAGCGAGAAAGTAAAAAGAAAATGAACGAGGATCTATTCAGTGTTCGCACATGTCTGCTAATGACAGCGAAGACAGTAAAGGAGCACTCATCGCCCAGGCTAAAAAGAAAGGAAAAAAACCGTCAGCGGCTATAAGACACTCCGCCGGAATTCACCAGGAAGACGCGCTCTAACGACGAACTCTGTCGAATGAGCTGTTTTCTTTGCCTCTGCCGTGTCTACCTTTAAATCCCCTCCTCCCACATACTATATACACCTCTTCCGCTATCTTCTCCTTCATCACCAACTCGTCTTTTCTGTCGCAATGGTTACGAATGTTCCCATTACAACTTGCCACAACTTCCATTCTGGTCGCGGCTCTTGCACTTATCTTCGTCGCGGTCATCGTCGCAGAATGACATCAGTACTCGTGGCCTCACCAGAACCATCACATACTCGCACACCTGCCACGCCGTTTACAAACCTCCTCTCCATCTGCCGTGTCGGGGGAGTCCTTCCTCTGCTTCCGGCAGCTCCTACGCTGTGAACTGCCACCACCGTCACCGTGGCCGCCTCCGCTCCACCTCCGCCTCCGCCTCGCCTTCACTTCTCGCCTGCTTCCTCTGCTCCGCCTGCCTCTCCGCCTCTCCCCCACCTCGCATCTTCCCCATCGTCTCGCCACTACGCACCCAGCCACCCATTCTCAGACGCGTCCTCTCCTCAAACCTCAGCTTCCGCCGCCTCCTACGCCCTTAAACTGTCACGCTCCGCCGTCGCCGTCGTGGAAACGCCTGAAGCGCGCCGTCCGCAAAGCCTGGCGCGCGGGGTTGGGGACGCCCGCCGCGGAGCGCGGCGTTCCGCATCGCAGCACACACGCAGCGCGCCCGCCTGCGCCAGCAAGCCCTCGCTCGCTGGCTGGCTGCGGAAACATGTGCACCACCCACGCCCGCCCGCCCGTTCGCTCGCCCGCCTTCAGCGCCCTGCCACGGGGCTTCCTGCCGATGACGAAGCTCCGCCGCACCGCCTCAAGCGCGGTAATTGAGCACAGAACGAGCGCGAGATAGCCGCCAACAGAACAGTTTCGGGTTTCGCTAACTTGTTACGGGTGCTATTATTATCGGCATACTGTGTACGTTACATGTGTTAATAATTTATTAAATTCACAGCGCTGACGATATAGGGACATGGAACACTGTTGATGCAACGGAACCACACGTAATTTAATATGGTTTTATTATGTCTATTGGGTTTTGAGTGAGTTTTTCCTAATCAAGAAGGTAGGGAAACACAAACATTAATATATTTTTCGAAATATTATATATTCAATGTAAAGCTGAAAATTGAAGATCTTCTTACTAATTATACCCATGTGCACAATTTACTTGTATATTCGCAATCTGCCGGCAATTTTACAGATTGAACAAACTCAATTTCCATCTAAAACATTGATTTCTATGAAAAATATTTTGATTAAGAGTCAGCACACATGACCAACATACCATTTTCATCTCTCTTCTCTTTCGTTCTTCCAAAGCTGAAGTAACGGGGATGAAACTTCGTGAACACATTTTACCGAAGCTTAAATTCGTTCGAGCGACAAAAACTGCGTGAGCTCCGTTTTCCTGAGCTCGCCTGCAAGCAAAATATGGAGATTTACACGTACTCTAAAATAAGCTTGTGATGCTGATATTTCTTCAAAATATATAGGTTTTTTAATTAAATGAAATTTCATCCAAAATTGCTAGGGTAATTTTAACAAAGAATTATAATATCGATGAAAACAAAAAATTAATCGCATTTTCCAACTAACTTGGAAAACAACCAAATACGTTTTTCATGTCACGTAGACAAGTTCCTTTGTGTGCTGTAGCTCTAGAAATAGTAATTGGATCTGCAGGATTCTCATCTGGGTTCTCCCACACCAAAGTAAGAGCAGTAACGGACGAGTATATTTCTGAATTTTACGTAAATTGTCTGCATCTGATAATGGGATTAGATTTCTACATTATAGAGTTCATGCATGAGAACGCTAGTTTTTGTATATACCATTAGGATGGTTAAAGAGATTTCTCTAAAATAGGCTAACCTGATCACAAATATTTGCATTCAAAATCTTAT